CCTATCCCATTATTCATCGGACAGCTGACTGTTTCCAATGCCCGGGTTTGGGCTGTTATTACTTTTCTTCTTCATGTAAAAAGGCGAGCTGGTATATAAATCCTTGCTTAGTCATCTGGAACATAACGTGGCCCTTCCCGCCGCCCCCTCCCCTCCCCGCCTCCTCCAGGCCCGGCTGTGCCTGCTGGCCTCCCAAGCCTGGAACAACTGCCTTCAGATTCCCTTCAATAATAAATGGGATTGCCTTCCGCCTATAGGTTCCCTGAACTCATACAAAAGCTGGAGCGGGGGTGGGAGGGCGGGGAGGGACACTGGGAGGCATTACAACTATTGACACATTATTAGAAAGAAATAGCAGTGCTTTTCAATTATTCCTCTTTAAAGAAACATGCTGGTTTGGCCTTCTTCTTCTTCTTCTTCTTTTTTTTTAAGATACTATTGTGGAACTGAGTCCTGCCCCCAAAAAGGAGAAGTTCAGAAGTGGGTTTTAGAGGTTTCAGCGATCATTAAGGCCCTTTAGACTTGAGATGTTTTACATCAAATTTCGACGTAGAAATAATACTTTTTCTTTTTCCTCACAAAAGAGGAAAATGAGATGAGCTGTAAATGGGAAATGCTCTGCAAGAGAGATGCCCTTATTTGTTTTGTCTGCTCCTATTCTCCACTCAGTAAATCTCTGAATGAGTGAAATGGTATAGGCTCTTAATGCATAATACAAATTAATCGTATCAATCATCACGGTCCGCTGGAAATACCTCAATCATTCCACTTAACACACACACACACACACACAAAACTAGATTCTCACTCCCCAGCAGAGTATAACCCCCCTGAGGCTAACGCCAGTTCTGGCACATTCACAGCTCCGTCATCACCACTACAGAGACAGGGCGGGCCCAGTGCCCACACTGGGGAAAGAGATCTCAACTTGGGTTTAAACAGGAAGAGTGTCCACCGATGGTCTGTTTTCCATTCCCAGCCACACTAAATCACTGGGGGACACGGGCATCAGGAGCATGGGAGCTTGGAACCCACACTGTGTGGGTTCGGGTCCCTACTCTACCACCACCTGGTAGGTGACTTTGGGCAAGTCTCCCAACCTCTCTGAACCTCTGTGATCTCCTTTACAAAGTGAGAGATGGACATGCCTACGCTGACACCCCTTAATATGTTACTGGATTCTTTTATTACTATCATATACTCATCTCTCTTGACTTTGAACCAAAAAAAAAAAAAAAAAAAGGAAGGCGTGCCCAAATGCAAAATTTGGTCAGTCACGGCTAAAGCTGCTTGTGAGTTGTAGAGTGACTGCAACAGGCCTCCCGGGAAAGAGTTCAAATTCGGTGGGGCAAAGGCACCAGGTGGGTGTGGTGCTCTGCTCCAGACCACGCGCTTCCTAGAGGAGGCCCTGACTGTGGTCAGCAGGGCAGCTGCCCACGGTGGGACAGAAAAGACGTGAGAGAGTCGCATATCTGCCGATGTGCACCTCATCTTATTTACGAGACGTGGCCTGGGGTCCCCATCCTACGGGACTTACAAAGCAAGGCCAAGAGACAAGATCCTAAGGCTGAGTCTGACAGTTACTTCCACATTTCTGACCTTTACTTTTTTCCCTTCTGAAATGGGAAAGGGGCAAATGCTAGGGATAAAAATCAAAATTCAACCTCCTATCTTTGGGAGTGCTTTGAGGAAGTTAAGGTGTACACAAAAACCGATGTCATAGCAACAGCACCAGTACCCCCCCACCACCACCACCACCAAATACAGATGTCTGGCCTTCCTTCCAAATGCCAGCTTCATAAAGGAGCCTCACTATTAAAGACTCAATTTCCGGCAAATGGCCACAATTGTTAATATCAAATGAAAAGTAGATGCCACAGGAAGAGTTCCCGTGATAAACAATTTGAGTTGGGGGAAAGATGTGTGATGTACATCGCAAATAAACATTAAATCTCTGAACAGTAACCATCTTTAGGGTCTTCCTGATTATATATCTTACATATGCTCTTTTAAAATGCCCAGCATTGGACTTTATGTTTTATTTTCTTATGCTTAGGTAAAAGTTTGGACTAAAACTATTCCATCAGTCGCAAGGGCCGCTAACTTGGCAAGTCATCAGGCACTCAAAATCCCCCAAATTGCTGGAAGGCTAACTAGGAATTGTCACTGTATTTTGAAATCTGTCAGAACATTACGAATTTCCTGAATGACTTATTTAATGTATGTGTTTATTTATTTTTACTTTGGAAGTCCAAAAGGACAGGACTCAGTTGAGATACAGTCTGTCGTATGCCTACGTCTTGTCCAGATAAGGTAATTTAACTGAAGACTAGAGCCTACAGGTTTCTTTCTTTCTTTCTTTCTTTTTTTTTTTGTGCCACAGGTGCCATAATGAAGTAGTGAAAAATGAAAAGGAATGAGGAAAAAGAAACACAAGTACAAATAATACAGTAGAGAAAGTTTTAAAATATGTATAACTCCAGTCTGTGGGGGAAACACCTCTTTGGATATATTCTTGACAGATTGAGTTATTTCTGTCTATTGGGTATGTATAAAGACATATTTATGGATTTATAAATCTTTTGAAGAGGGCTGTTATTTACCCAGTTGACTAAAATGGACTCAAACTGTGTAAATAACTATTTAGGACATGCACTACGGGCCAAATACTGGCACAGCTCACACGTCTACGGCTGCCAGGGCAAACATGGAAAAGCTACCGTGCGCAGCTAATCCGAAGGCTGCACAAAGACCCAGCCCCACAGGTCTCAGGGATGAGAAGAGGTTTAGAAGGGTCGTGGGCGGCATGGAAATGCAGAGAAGGAGTGGCGGTGACACTGGGACGCATCATCCTGCAGTTAGCAAGGGATGAAGCGCGGGGCCCACGAGGGTCGTTGTAGAAAGGCCCACCGGAGCGCCGTCAAATGATACCGCTTACGTGAAAACTCTTAAGATGCAGAATAGGGGGTGGTCTTATGTGAAAAAAATATAAAGAGAAACGAGGTAAGTCGAAAGCTCAGGTAGTGTGAGAGAGAGACATCTCCGGCTTACAATGAAATTCATTATTACATTGGCCTTTGGAGAACACTTGTTGAAGGAAAAGGAAACATGCAAAATTCCTAATTCCTTGTTGTGACACGTCACTGGGGAAGAGCTGGGACAGGGCCTTTGCCTCCTCAAAATCCTTTTATCAGATTATCTTTGAGAAAGCATATATACTACTTTTTTTAAGATGTATTTATTTATTCATGAGAGACACAGGCAGAGGGAGAAGCAGGCTCCATGCAGGGAGCCCAATGTGGGACTCGATCCCAGGACCCCGGGGTCACGCCCTGGGCTGAAGGCAGACACCCAATCACCGAGCCACCCGGGCGTCCCTATATGCTACAATTTTAAATTCGAGGACACTTCAGCAGTTTGCAAGCCTTCACAGCAGCAGCTAAACCACCCACCTGTTCCTAGATGAGATGTATATGGGTGTGGGTGTGAGTGTCTATCTTTTAGAGCAAAAAATGAAAAACAAACAAAACAAGAGGCTACGACCTCATGTGCCAATTCTGAAGTGTCCAAAGAAGAATTTAGACTCCATTTACGCCTTTCTGAAAACTCATGGAATAAGCTGAGAATAGGGCTTCATACTGAAAGTGCCGACCTCATCTTCACGACAGCCGCGTGAGCAGCAGCACCATCACACACACACACACACACACACACACACACTTGAAAGAGAAAAGGCCCCATGGATTCTTATGCTGCATATCATTTTCCAGTAAAAGTCAGAGGTCAGAGGTTACACATTTCTGCCTCAGCTCTGAACTGGTTTACTATCCTGGGCTCCATTTTTACTACACTTACAATTGTGGTGAAGTCAGCAACTTTTCTTTGAACAATACTATATCTCAAATGCTTAAAATTATATGTGGAGAAGTAATTCCCAGTCCAGAGAGCATACATGTGCCATAAAAAGAAAAGAAAAAAAAAAGAAAGAAAGGAAACTTCCTGGTTCTGTTTTCGAATGAATTATGTCAGATTCATTTTAGACTTTGCAGTTCTAATGGGTACAGCCCAATGTCTGTGAGAAAACAAAATTCTTCTGCTAACGGCACTCCGATGAAACATAATCATCAAACCAGATTTTAAAGTAGGCACCTACTGTGGGCTCAGAGTCAACCTCAATAAAGCCGTCTTTTTATCTTCAGATAGAGAATTCTCTCTTAAGCTTTAGCTTGCGCTGACTGAACACAAAATTCCGCTGCAGCAGGTCTCACAGAAGCCAGTACAAGCCATCTGAATACTCATTCACCTTTTTTTTTTTTTGCAGAAGATTAACTTTATGTTAAAACTTTATTTCCTACTAGTCACGGTCAGGCATGCACACCCACGGACACCCAACTACACGCACAGGCGTGTGCATTCAAGGAACGAGATGGGCTACACTGATCTGGCTTCTTCTCATTTTGTTCTAATTGTCTAGAGTCTGACTTTGCAGTAAAGTGGAATGCTTAAGAGATTCGGGTAAGTAAACCCGGGAAAATGGCTTCAACCCAACGGAGGGGGGAGCCCGATGTGTGCCCCTAAAAGGCCCACTGCCTTCGAAGCGTCTGAAGACGCCATTGACTTGGAATCTTGGAAGATGATTCTTCACCATCTCTTGAAAGGCTCTAAGGGCGAGTAATAACAATACTCTTCATTTGTATCGCAGGCCATTGGTGCCAGACTATTTCCGCACGTTTGAACTTCCCATCTACCCTAGTCTTGTCCTCAGCCAACTCACCCACCCTGTTTGTAGGGAGGTGGCCGGGTGACAGGCAGTTGGGCAGCTGGAATGGCAGAGAAGAAGAAAGGGCCCAGAGAACAAAATAAGATAAGCTGATTCCCGTACTGGGAGGGGTTGATGTTCTAGGAAAACGTGTACAAATGGTAGCTAACTGGACATTTCGGACTTTTCAACCCTTAAAAATGAAACGAGTAGCAAAAGAGAGTGAGAACTCCTCTCCTACCTTGCTCACTGCTGTTATCTCCACTGTGTGATGTGTGGCCACCGCTGGAAGGGCCCGGGGTTCCTCCGGAACGAGTGGATGCCGTGTCATCGTGATCTCTGTTCCAAGAGGGCTGCGGGGGCACAAATCAGAAATCCAAACGGAGTGGTCGGTTAACAGTGGTCCGGTGGGATCCCGTCAGGCAGTGACAAAGCCCCGGGAGGCTGCCAGGGACGGCCGGGCTGTCTCCCCCGTCCCCCTTCACGAACGGTGCCAGCTCGGAGCTACACTGACACCTGTAACACGGGCCGATTTCTGCTTCTGGGCTAAAATAGCACCTACGGATGGTTATTCCGTAAGCAATCGCTTTCTTACCAAGGAAAACAGAAACATTCCAGGCAGAGAAGGGGGCCGGGGCCGGGGCCGGGGACGGGGGCGGGGGCTGCTGCCACTGGATTCTGACTGTATTTTTAACACCAACCAACCCTCTGGCACGACAGTCTGCTACTACTCTGAAAATGCAAACGGAGAGCAGTGGTCTATCACACTGTGGTTTCTAGAGGCCTCTGATTCATCCTGGAAGACAAACATGGCAAAGCTTTGAAGACCTCACAATTAGGCCGAGGTCCATAATAGCTAGTATGTGTCAGCTGTTTGCCGGATGGTACATGGCAAATGGACCGGGCACGGGGACAAAAAAGGAATGAGAATAACAATAGATTCACATGGACTGTGTACACTCAGCCCCATGCCGAGCCTCCTTGTACTATTGAACGGAAAACAGATGTTGCTTCTTATCACTGGGTGCATTTGAAAGTAACATTCAGATAGGAAAAAATTGGCAGTAAATTAAATTCTTGGGGAAAACAATCATGGCAACACTTCTCCCAAATCTCCCTTTATCACCAGAAAAGATTTTAATTAGCTTTTAGTGCTAGCTTTCAGAAACAGCCTGATGAGTCACTGGTCATCCTGCACAGTAGGAACGATGCAGAAGAGAAAGCTGGTTCTTGGCTGGGAAGCGGGATTTGTCTTCAAGATTATCAGGGGGCAAAGGCAGGGTGAGCTTGCCTGTAAAATACGTCTGCGTCGTTTCAGCCCTAGGGCGTCACGGTTCGGGACTGTTGTCCTAGGAAAGTTTACGGGCCACTCCCCACCCCCCCTCCAGCCCGCGTCGTTTTAAATGTGCCGCGCAAAATCAAAGTGAGCTTTGCTTATGCCTCTAGAGGTGTCTTCGCGTCCCAGAGAAGATAAGAGAGGCTGAGATAGAATGTTCCTGACACCCAGGGAGAGAGAAGAGGGAAGATCCCACCGAAGAGGCCTGCTGTAGAGGGATCCAGGGAAGACTCCCTGTCCCCGAAAAGGATGCTTGCCTGCCACCCAACTGGGCCAGAAGATTAACGCGGGCCCCCCCTCCACCGCTCCCCGGCCCCCAAATCAGATAAAGTCGCAGAAAGATCCACCAGTCGCAGGTTGGACTCAACCGTTGCACGCACGGTCTCAGAAACGGTGCTGATGAACCCGCGGAGGCTGCGCCTAAAAGACCCGAGAGCTGGGAGAGAAGGGCTTTCCGACAGACAGACACGCATTCGGCGGCCTGTCAGGAGAACGCTGGGGGACGTAATCTGGAACACCTGCTCAGAATGCAAACAGTTAACGCATAAATTTTCAGTTTGTCCAACTGCAGCTCTAAAAGGGGGACTTGTTTATTCAGAGCTCTGCAGAAAGAATGGTACAGCACCCAGGGGACAGACAATGCCAGGCACAAAACCCCGGTGCCTCGACATGTAAAAGGATGTTTTTCTCTGTGCTACAAATCCCACTTGAAAATATAATTAGAAGGAGAAAATGGCAAAGTATTGCATTAACTGTAATTGAACAAAAGACCGGCAAGGCATGTGGGAGGCTGCAGGAACCCGCGGGAGTTTCACGATGCATGAGATCCTGCGAGTGACATCTCCTGGGCTCTCTCATTTTATTTATGTGGTCCCTCACTACCAGTGTTGACTGGCGATCTGACTCGTAATTAATAGAAAAGCTACCGATAACAAGCTAAAATACAGGGCGACAGAAGAACCTCATCAGAGGCATGTTGGTTAATCTGATTAAGACTGGGGACTCCAGAAAGGTGACTTAGAACCCAAGAATCATTCCGTGTTATACAGGAAACTGTCCTCCTTTATGCTACAACAGACCTGATATATTCACTATCTTTTAATGAGCTCCACTGATTTATTCAGCTCCGCTCGGCTCCCTCCCCCACTTTTCTACTGTGCAGGATGTAGATTAATTCAATGCTTAATTGTTTAGTAAATTCAATTTTCCACATTCTATTCTGCATAGCTTTAGCTAAGGTTCTTAAATCTTCAGCAGTGAGCCTTGAGCCCAGTGTTTGTGATCTGTGCCTACCTTTTTTCATCACCATTTTTCTTCATCCACCACTTAATTCACCATGAAAAGATTTTCCTTGCTGGAAATTCTGATTCCGCTATGATCTGTGAGGCATTCCGATTCATTGCATTTTCATTGTGTTGGGTCTTAGATGCCGGGCTCCTCTTTTCTCACAGCTATCGCCACATTATACAGGCATTCATGCAAGAAATGTTGGATTCCACCTCAGTTTATCCAAATTTTGTGCAACCTATATGTTTAAATTTGTGTGTTCACTGAAGGTGGGAGCCAGTATTTTCCCACCTAATCTCACTTGTCTCGCGGCCTCGCTCAGTCCAGAGGGGCCTGTGGTTCCTGAATGCCCTCCTCCGGCATGAGAGCTAACTTTTGTGGTCCTCTCTTGAATTAGCATTTCGGGTATTAGCATTTCAAGAACGGTAGAGTCATACAAAACTGAGCATCAGGAGAAATCCACAAGGTTACCAAAACAGAACAAGAATTATGTTTAGTTCAGTTCATTAAGCATGATTAAAGTCTAAGTCTCAGAAATAGCTCGTGAACCCTTCTGGCATAAATATGTAAGGCAGCCCTAATCAGAAAGAGCTCCCCCAAAATCCATCTACTCGAGAATCTCAGCTACAGTAACGTATATCTCTGTGACTCTCAGTGGTTACACCAAACAGCGTCATCATTATTTTTAAAATAAAATATGTGCATACGATTATGTACATATATCTGTGAAGTTGTGAGTTGCTTGGGGCCACTTGTAAAGTAAGGTTGACAGAATAAAATCAATGATGCATTGCATTAGATGTATGGCAAACCGTAGTCACGGTTCTAAATTAGGGCCCCGAGAGGCTTTTTTCTTCAACGTACATAATTTCAGAGAAAGCGACACCTATGTTCTCATCTACTGGAGATCCATTAGGACAAGAGGTCCTAACCCAAAGTCCGGAGACCTCCTAAAGACTTCGGTGTGTGTGGGGGTGGGGGTGGGGCGTTGTGGGGAGGGAGGGTCTTGTCTTAGCAATAATTGTGTTTATGGACACACTTGCATTCTTCTCCCCCGGGGAGAGTGTTCATCAGATTGTCAAAGGGGCATGTGATTCTTTAAAAGTCTGAGGATCACTGCTGTAGCAGACACTCACAGGGCCAGGTGGAAGAGCTAGGGCTAGGGCGACCTTCATGATCGTGGGGCCAACACTTTCACCTGACATCGAGAGCCAGTGGTCCTCCAGACCTTATTTCTTTTGAATAAATGGAGGTGGCCAGTTAGAGGCTTCGTGTCATCAGAAAGTTCCTGGTCAATATATAAATATGTAGCATACAAACCAGTTTCATTTCCATCTAATTTCCATTCATACTTTGTCTAGTTGAGGAGCCCCCAAAGATAGCCATTTTAAATATGTGGGGGATGCCTGGGTGGCTCAGTGGTTGAGCATCTGCCTTCGGCTCAGGTCGTGATCCTGGGGTTGTGGAATCAAGTCCCACATCAGGCTCCCTGCTTCTCCCTCTGCCTGTGTCTCTGCTTCTCTCTCTATGTCTCCCGTGAATTTAAAAAAAAAATCTTTAAAATAAATATGTGGAGCAAGCCAATGATTCTCCCCCATGTTTTCTCTCTTCAATGGCTGAACACTCTCATGCCTTCTATCATTTCTTAAGAATGCTTGAAAATAAGGAGTTTTTTAAATGATGCTATGCTAAGATTCATTGAGTGGTATTTTTTATTTATAAGGCAATTATACGGGTATCTGGTAGTCAAATAGAGGCAGTGACCTCCTTGACCACAGGCTCCTCCAGGGCAAGGATAATACCTGGATCTTCTCTGTCTTGTTCTTTCCTGGCTCGGCACAATGTATGGTGCATGCTAAGCACTCGGTCAGGGCTTAGGGAACTAAGCTGAACCGCTCATCGTTTACCATTCCACCAATATTCCAACAGACGAACTGCAACTTCCCAAACTATCCTTCCCCACGAATAAAGCTATCCATTGGGAACTTTTCCTCCCTTGAGCTTTTCCATTCTTTTTCTATCTAGGCCTTAATTTGAGGCATAACTTCTGGTCCTCATATCACCTTTCATGTTTTCTTTAGACAATTCCTTTCACTACTGTGATTTGAGTTCTCACTCACATGCCTCTAAATTTGTGTCTCTGGATCTCTTCTTTGGTCTTTAGACTTGTATGCCCAACCACCTGCTAAACCACTTCCATGAGAATATGTTCATCTCACTCAACAAGTCCAAAGCTAAATTCTTTATCTCTCGACCAACATCCTACCCGTTCTTCTTTGTTATTGATCCTAGTTGGCATAACGCCATCCATCCATGGCATAAGCCTGAGGATCATCCATGACACCTATCTACTTCCCCGCTGCTACATTCAATCGGTCATCAAGTCTCGTTCACTTTTACCCCTAAATAGTTCACAAATAAATCTCATTTTTCCCCTGATTGCTGGTCTTGTTCAGTCCCTCCCAGCTCTAAAGAGATCAGTCAAATCACTTCTCAGTTCAATTCCACTAGAAATGAGGACAGGAACTGGTCATTGTTGCTTGTCATTGCATCTTGCCTATCAAGCTCAGTGCCCGGCACGTGGCTGGCACTCAGGAAATGTTTGTTAAATGAATGAACGGCTCCCTACTGCCTACAGAATACTACAGTCTGGGGCCCTTGGCCCTCATATAGCAAGCCCTCATGGTCCACCTCCTGAGGACCATTCCTCAACTGCTCCTTGTACTCCAG